ACAAATGACAAAAGGGAGGTGACAGTGGGGTCAGGGGTCCAAAATAAATGCTGCCTTGGGGGTCACCAAGCAGAGCACCCAGAGAGCACCCACTGACTCAACTGCTGCCAGAGAGGTGGTGGCTACTTCCCAGTGGTGCCCTGCTTGGAGACAGGACTGGACCATACCCAAAAAGATGGCCCTATGGTGTCTGTGGACCTCCTAGCCACAGCCTCCTTCCTGGTGACACAAATCGCCAGCTTGGCCAAGGCGAGGAGGAGGTTGACCAGGAGGTCCCTGGCCTTCATGGGGCCATGGATAGGGAGTGAAAAAATAAATAAGTGTGGGGAAAAGTGCAGCCAGAACCTCATCAGGAGATTTTGGAGGAGGAGGTGCAGGAGCACCAGGGTCTTGCTCTGCTCACAGGAGGCGCATGTGTCAGGGCTGTCTTGAACCCTACCAGATACATGCCCATTGAAATGGCTCCATGAAGGAGCCACCAGCCAAGGTCCCCGGTGGCGCATGGGATCAGGGTAGAGCACAGACTCTGCCACTGGGGTCCGTCGGCCTCACCCTTGCCTAGGGTGTCCTGCCACTTGGTGTCTGGATGGGACGCGAGGGTGGTGTGATGGCACATGCGGTGGATGGCTGTGTAGAACTGGCAACGGTGGACTGTAGAAAAGTGGACCGGCTGCGTGTTCTCCAGACTGCTAAGATGGTGGAGTGGGGAGTGCCCTGGGGCCTGCCGAAGCGTGGGACCCAACAGCAGCTCCACCAGGTGGGGGAACTGAGGGCGGTGGGGACCACGCTCGCACAGGACTCGCCCTAGGGCAAGGGCATCTACAGGCAAAGCAGCTTTCACCTCCTGGACTAGGTGCAAGCAGGATGCATGCTCTGTTGCCAGACCCATGCACCGGGCCGGTGCAGCATGGGCTACCCACTCCTGCCCAGCGTAGTCCAGGAGGTCTCCGATCTGGGTGAGACTCACCAGGGCCATCCTCTGGTGCACCCAGAGTGGTGCCATCATCGAGACTGCCAGCTAAGTAGGTCCGCGCCCCCGTGCCACCTGCAACAGGGCCCTGGAGACAGAGAGCAGCCCCAGGCCCTGAGGAGGTCTTGCTAAAAGACTGGCAGCGCCCCCGAGCTCCGTGCAAGACCGAGCCTGTGCAGCTAGAAGAGCTGCCGGTCATATCAGAGCCCTCGGCGGCGGCGGGGCAAAGCGCGCCCCAAGTGGCTCCACACTGCATGGTTACTGGCACCATACAGGAGCCTGCGCAGGGCCTGAAGGCGAAAGATCAGGACCTGGCTGCGGAGGCCACAAGGGGAGGCTCAGGATCCTCGCAGAGACCCAGTGCAGTCCCAACCAGCACGGGTGACTCGTGCCACCTTAGTCAGGGGGTGGGGGCACGTGCCCGACCAGCAACCAGTCATTAATCATTGGGGGTGCCCCCCAGGGCCGATCGCTGCGGCCGCTTCTAGGAGCGCTGTTCCCCGGCTGGCGCTCTGGGGGGGCATCGTCACTCCCGCCTGCCCCACTTGCCCATCGCCCTAGCAACAGGCGCAGACGGTCGGGGGTGCACTGGCACTCCCAACCAGAAAAATATAGCAATACCTACGGATCCCAGCCAGGGTATTGAAATGGTGCCAGAGCATAGACAGGGCCAGGTGATTCAACACCAGTGCCAACCCTGAAGGAACAAGCACCCTTACAGCAGGCTGTTCCATGCCCAGAGACACTCACAGAGTACCAGCTCCCAGAGGGCTAACCCTGCCAGCCACAGCCACACAAAGGGCTTCAGAGCAGCAAATAGGCTTGACTGAGACTGAATTCAGATCACTGGGTCCAAAGGCCAGAGTGCTGACCGCTACACCATAGAACCAGCCAAGGACACGAGCCAGCCTTGAACTCATAACCTTGGGCTGCAAGCCACCATACAGAGCTGGAGAGATTGGGCTGCCCAGGGAAGCTGTGGCAAACAAAGTTATTTGGGTAGATGTGATATCTTTTATTAGATCAAGTGAGAAGTTGGAAGAAAGCGCTTTGCAAGCTTTTGGGCACAATCACCCTTCTTCAGGCATAGAAAGTCTCTGCTGGTCTGAGATTCCAAGGAATTAAAGCAGCTAAAAGTGTGACCGGAGGTCAGTGAGAAAGCAGATAGGTGGAAATTAGGAAAACAAAAGGTAGAGTAGGGGAGGGAGGGGAAAAATGAGGGGGAAAACAGTGAGCAAGGGAGACTCTACACTGGTAGATTTTCATGGTAGAAATGAGGGTGTCTGAGAAAAAGTAAATAGCTGGAAATTAGGAAGTCAAAGGCAGAAAAGGAGGGGAGGACAGGGCAGGAAGTGGAAAAAAGAGGTCAGGTCTGGCAGGTACCTGCTGAATCAGATGTCAGGCAGGTTGTAATGTGTCATAACCCAATGTCGATATTGAGTCCATGGTTTCTGTATCCATAGTTTCATAGTTTCTAGGGTTGGAAGGGACCTGAGCAGATCATCTAGTCCGACCCCCTGCCATGGCAGGAAGAGCACTGGGGTCAAATGACCCCAGTAAGGTGGTCATCCAACCTCCTCTTAAAAACCCCCAGGGTGGGAGCCTGCACCACCTCACTTGGAAGCTGGTTCCAGAC